CCTATCAATCTATGTGTCCTTTGATGCCCAATCTTTTAATATTTTTATTATCGATATGAGATATACTTTTTTTAGAGAGTCACACGGACCGCCCTTCAAGCCAATCAGAATCAGGAGCTGGCTGAGAGTGAAAACTGCGTATCTGCTCAGCCTTTTGGAGCAAGTGAGCATAGGAGCTATTTCGCGCTCTGCAACGCGGAGAGAGCACGGATGTAGCCAATATGATGTTTATATATATAAATATGTTTATTTTAATATACTGTTGAATTATATCATAATAACTATTAGGCATAAGATAGCTTTCGAAAAATGCTAAAGCAATATATGTCTAAATTTGATTCATGCGTGTTCAAATACTTAAGTATCTATAAAGACATAGAATCAGACTAAAAAACTGCTTTCAGAAAATATGCTTACCTGTTGATATTACGGTTTATATACGGCTGTGTTAAGAACTGTTGTAAGCGAAGAAGACAGATGAATGAATGAATGACACAGACAAAAAGATTAAATAACAAAACTTGTGTAGAGAGATAACTGATTAATCCAATTATTCAATCACGACTCATATATATAAAAGAATGTATTAGACGTGTTATCATTAATTTTTCATCTTCTCCATCATAAGTGTACTCATCATTTAAACAAAAAAATTGCAACAGGGGGTCCCCACCAGACGATCCAGATGGGGGTCCTTGCATGGCCAAGTTTCGGGAACCCCAGAGTGTAGCGCACAATTACACAACGTACCATACCAACTGGTTGCTATCAATTGCATTATGGTAACCATGGAAATGGTAATCCGTGAAATGCTGGAGACAGCAGACAGGTCTCTATTTGGATGATGATAAGTGCCTCTTGGGTTGTTGCCTGAGGTAAGACATCCAATTCTGCTTTTAATATCATGCGGTTGTCCAGTTCTAGGCTGTGTATTCAAATGCATAACTTAGACGTGATGGGTACATTGATGCTATTGACTATGGAATGTTACTCGTATTATTTATTTATTTTCTTTTTAGCAAAAACCTGGAAACACTAAACTTTGTCCAAATCTTAAAGCATGTTGTTGGGACAACAGGAGTCCTTATGTATGAAGGTTCATATTTTGACACAGGCATCTATGAATGTGCCTTGAGACCATGTGTTAAACATGATCAGGTGGACCTAGTGCAGTGGTACCACATTCAGGACCACTTTTTTCAAAATCCGCGAGTTTTCACGATAAAACACGTAATACTCGTTGTCGTAGGTGATTGTTTATGTGGTCAATATGCTTCCATTGTGACCTTAGATACAACCAAAGAATGACCACGATGCAGATATGACAAGGCACAAGGATGGTCCCTGGGTCCGGCAAGATAGTCCATTGTAAGCGGCGGAGTCTGTATAAGACCATCGTTTCGACTGGTCACTGTCGCAGGAGGACATTATGGTTTTCCGGGCGCGCGTCCCCATGTCTCCGACCAACGTGGAGGGTACTGAGTCCAGGATGACGGCCTTGAGGAGGCAGTTTTTCAGATTTAGTCACGGGTCGTTGGGAGCTCGACAAGGAAGAGAAGAGCTGATTACATTTGTGGCAGTCAGAGATCACTCTTACAGTACCCTTCAAAACCAGAACTCCAAAGATAAATGTCGTGTCTGAGTCACCACACTGCAAGTGCCAGACGGGGCGCGGGGAGAGGGCGGAACGGCCGGGCGTGCGTCAGTTATGTTTCATCAACGTAGACTTGTGATGATATGTTGTCATTATTGTTAAGTAGCGAAGTGATCAAAGTATGCCTGATTGTTGACATAAACGAATATGAGAAAGTGACTGCGCCTAGTCAAGCAGGAGACTACTGGAATTACAAAAGCAGGTGCTCTAACGAGGACAGGGCAATATAGTCAAGAAAGAAAAAAAATACATGAACCATGCAGACAAAAAAAAAAAGCGTTCCTAAAATTGAAACCGAAGAATGGGTTGGGGCAGTCTCGAAAGAATATAAGGCATTACTTAATGAACAATAATAATATGTTAACGTTATCAGTGAAGTTTGTGGTAACGTTCACGGGTTAGAGTCTTAGGCTTACAACTCACAGCAGCAGTATGCCTACTGTACACTATTGTCATTAGTGGCGTGAACGTTACCACAAAACTATAGGCATATATATTATAGTTCATAACAGGTCATGTCAAAGCTATGAACTGCATTGTTGTAGTTTAGCTGCAATATAGGCTATATGTAACATCTAACATTTACAAAAGTCACCTGTAATAGTTACCTTATTTAGGACTAGATGCCGTTTGCATGGTGGAGAGCAGCAAGGTGATGAAGGGACCTTTGAAGACAGCGCCACTGCAGCGCATGCGCACTTCTTAACTCATTATGACTTGTTATCTCATTATTTCGACTTTTTATCTCATAATTTCGACTTTTTATCTCATAATTTCGACTTTTTTATCTCATAATTATGACTTTTTATCTCATTATTTCGACTTTTTATCTCATAATTTCGACTTTTTATCTCATAATTTCGACTTTTTTATCTCATAATTATGACTTTTCATGGGGATTTTATTTTTTTCAAGTGGCGGAAATGGGCTTCCATACTATCGGGATGTTGAGAGCATTCCATGGAATATAACAAAAAGTGTATCTCGAGCCGGTTTCTCAAACTTACCTACCCCTCCTTTAAATGTAGATATAAATGTATAATTCATTTTTGTATTGGTTCTTCAGTTGAATTACACTTAACGTTCAGGGTAATCAACTGTTAAAAACATACAGTTCACATTTTTATTTTTTATTTTGTTAAAGTTCAATAAATGGATATTTTCAAATTCAATGAATAATCGTATTTAATAATTGTGATATCAATATTGGCCAAAAATAATCGTGATTATGATCGTTGCCATAATCGAGCAGCCCTACTGCCAAGTTAAGGAAGCAATTGTAGATTTGGAAAATGCTTAATATAAAACAAACGGTTTGATTGTTGACTAAGATATTAAAACCCGATGCAGTTCATGGTATAACAATTAATGTGAATCAAACATGAAAAAATGTGTGTATCATGCTTGTGGCAAAACCTTTGCAACCTTGTGGGCATGCTGCTCCAAGTGCATGTTGTAAACAAATGTGTGACCTACTAAAAAAAAGACATTGCTGCATTATGCTAGTTGCTCCACAAGGTGCCTTTAGAAGGCGAGAACAGAAAGACCGAACAAATGTAATTCATCATGATTGATCCCAATGCTCCGTTATGGAAGACGTTCATGCCGATACATAATGCCGATGACAGTACATTATTCTAACATAATCAGGATTGAGCACCAATGTTCATACTGCTTTATCTTTCAATTAAAAAAGTTGACTCAAAGGCAAGTTGTGACAAATTGTGTCTATTGAATCTTGTGCTTAAACTTTTAAAGCTTAATGTACAAACTGCAGGAGCAAAGGGGGCATTTTGTGTGTCTGTGTGCATGTGACATAATGGGTGTGAGATGCAGATGCCCATAGAGCAGACTGCAGAGCCAGATGTTTGCACAGTTGTGTGTGTGTGTGTGTGTGTGTGTGTGTGTGTGTGTGTGTGTGTGTGTGTGTGTGTGTGTGTGTGTGTGTGTGTGTGTGTGTGTGTGTGTGTGTTTGTGT